GTTCTTAGCTGGGACCCCTGTGGAAGAAGATAGATTAGCAAGAGGAAAACAAACAGAAGTTTATTAACATATATAACTCATGGATGCATGGGAGATACCCAGGGGAAAATGAGTAGCTCTTTGAGGTGGCTTGGGATTCAGGATTCATCCTAAGAGGGAAGGAGGAGGGGAAAGGAGGCCCCTTAGCGGGGAATGAGTGATTTTTAGGAAAGACGAAGGGGCCCTTAGAGGATTATGTTGGAGAATCTGTGATAGTTTGACCAAGTTTGCCTGGGTATCACTTTCTAGTTTCTTCTCTTGTTATGAGTTACTCTTTCCTGATTGATGAACCTCCTGGAGAGGTGATGTATAATGGGATTCTCTTGGAGGACTAGGCAGATAAGGTGGTGTTTTAGGACCAATGTATAATAACATGTAGCTACCATTATGGTATACCGAGTGTTTTCACTGCCCTAAAAATCCTCTGTGCTCCACTTACTCATCTCTCCCTGCCTCCATTCTAACCCCTGGCAAGCACTGATCTTTTTACTGCCTCCATAATTTTGCGTTTTCCAGAATGTCATATAGTTGGAAACCATACAGTATGTAGGCTCTTCAGATTGGCTTCTTTCACTAAATAATATGTATTTGGGATTCCTCCACATCTTTTCATGGCTCGATAGCTCATTTCTTGTTGGTGTTGGAGAATATTCCATTGTCTGAGTGGATCACTGTTTATTCGCCTACTGTAGGATATCTCAATTGCTTCTAAGGTTTGGCAGTTATGAATAAAGCTCCTATAAAGATCCGTGTGCAGGGTTTTATGTGGACACAAGTTTCCAACTCCTGTGGGTGAATACCAAGGGGGGATTCCTGGACGGTAAGAGATGTTTTGTAAGAATCTGCCAGGCTGTCTTCCCAAGTGTTGCATTCCCACCAGCAGTGAGAGTCCCTGTTGCTCTACAGCCTCACCAGTATTTGGGATCATCAGTGTTGGGGTTTGGGGGCTATTCTAGTAGTGGTATCTCATTGTTTTTCTTTTTTAATGTTTATTTATTTACTTTGGGAGAGAGGGAGAGAGAGAGGCCAGTGGATGAGAGGTAGAGAGAGAATCCCAAGCAGGCTCCACGCTGTCAGTTCAGAGCCTGATGCAGGGCTCCATCCCTCGAACCATGACATCATGACCCAAGCCGAAATCAAGAGTCCACTGCTTAACTGTCTTAGCGGACTGAGCCACCCAGGTGCTCCTCTCATTATTGTTTTGATTTGCATTTTCCTGGTGACGTATGAGGCGGAGCACGTTTTCATGTGCTTCTTGGCTATCTTCCTGGGGTGAGGTGAATTTTGGAAAACAGTCCTTTATCAGATGTGTCTTTCGAAAATATTTTCTCCCAGTCTGTGGCTTGTCTTCTCCTTCTCTTGACAGTGTCTTTCACAGAGTAGAAAATTTTAATCTTAATCAAATCCAGTTTGTGAATTCTTTCTTTCATGGTTTGTGTCTTTGATGTTGTCTCTAAAAAGTCACTGCCATACCCAAGGTCATCTATGTTTTCTCCCTTGTTGTCTTCTGGGAGTTTAAAAGGTTTGCATTTTACATTTAAGCCTATAATCCATTTTGAGTTATTTTTTGTGAGGGCGTAAAGTCTGTGTCTGGATTCATATACATATATATATATATATATTTTTTTTTTTTTGCATGTGGATGTCCAGCTGTTCACCATTTGTGAAAAAAACTGTCTTTGCTCCATTGTATTGCCTTTGCTTCTTTGTCAAAGATCAGTCGGCTATATTTATGTGGGTCTATTTTTGGACTCTCTGTTCTCTTGCATTTATCTCTTTGCCTGTTCTTTCACTACTACTACACTGTCCTTACTATTATAGCTTTATAGTAAGTCTTGAAATAGGGTTCTGTCAATCCTCCAGTTTTGTTCTATTCCTTCAATATTGTGTTGGCTATTCTGGGTCTTTGGGTCCTCAGTTTTTAAGAGTCTAAAGCTGGGGGTAGGGGGGTGGGGGTGAAGGGAGGGTCCTGAGACCAAAAGCTTGAGAACTGCTATTATAGAGAAAGATGGACACACAGATGAGTGTATTAAATTCTTTTGTTAAGAAAGAATGTAGTGGAAGGGAACTCAGACTGAACTCATACTACATCTTACTGCCCTATTTTGGGAGCTGAGCAAGCTTGTTGCTTTAGGGTACATCTCTGAGAGTCCAAATTTAGATTCTTTGTGACACAGACATGAGCCTGGTCTTAGGAGAGAATTCTAGAGGGGCCTGGGGCTTGAGTTGTTGTCTTCCCTTGGGACCAACCAGAGAACTCAGGGCAGATTAGGGAGGTTTGGAATTGGTTTTTCCATTTCTCTGAGAGAAAGGTGAATCTTGAGGATTAGGGTTGTGCATGTATATCAAGTGCTATGCCTTTCATCTTCATAATTAAGACTTGTGAAATCTCAAGAGTAATCCCTGGTAAAAGGGGAACAATCGCATCTTGTGCTGTTTACCTACCTGCTACCCTTGACTTCTGCAAGAAGCACACGCAGAGAGGAAAAGGTGGGGCTTTGGTCTCAAACCCCAGGATTAAAAAAAAAGTCCCCTGTTCTGCTGGGCTGGGCTCCTCCAAAGAGAAAGCTTTATTTGCTGAAAGACGCCAGTTGCTTACTCTGCTCCATTCATGCAGGCCACACCCCTAGCAGACCACTCCAGCAGTGGGAGAGGCCAGCAGCTGACCCGAGCAGAGCTGGGTGTTGGATGGCACCCATCTCCCGCCTGCACAATCAGGCCACGCAGCTGCTCTCAAGGCCCAGTCGACCTCCTCAGCTACAGGAGAATCTTCAGGGATCTCAGGAGCAGGCCAAAGCAAGCAAGCCTAAAGGCCAGGCCTTCCTGTTTCCTAGTCATGTGGAAGGATGTCACCTCCAGGGACCACCCTTGATTACCTCCCATCCTTTAGCTGCTCTCCTGACACTCTGGAAGCACCACTCCTGGCACTGTGCCTAAAGGGACAGCATTCTTACTTGAGGGGGCAAGGCTGTTGTTAACCTGGGGACCACTGGTGGGTTCAGAGGGTCCTTAAAGGTCCAGAGACCAGGTATGTGTGCTCTTTTATGAGAGGGAAGGTCTAGAGTTTTCATCAGATTTCAAAAGTAGAGAAAGTCCTTCCTTATAAAAAGTTAAAAGGATCACTGTGTTAGAGAGCAACATTAGTTACAGCTGTCCTGCTGAAGATTTTCAGAGTCCTCCCAATAATAATAATGCAACAAATAGTTGAGTTCTCCATGCCTGGCTCAGCACTAAGGGCTGGAGACACAACAATGAGTAAGACCAGATGTGACCCGTATGTCATTGAAGGGCACAGATATAAATGAAATACTCACACAAGTGCATCTAATTCATTAGTTTATTTACTTATTTATTATTTTTTAAAAGTTTCTGTATTTTGAGAAAGAGAGAATGCAAACGGGAGGGGCAGAGAGAGAGGGAGAGAGAAAGAATCCCAAGCAGGGTCCACACTGTCATCACAGAGCCCCATATGGGGCTTACAAACACAAACCATGAGATCATGACCTGAGCCAAAATCAAGAGACACTCAACCAACTGAGTCACCCAGGTGACTTGCATGTTTAATTTAAAAATCAAATGCTGTTCTGAATTTCAGAACCTGGTTTTATGACTGATATAACAGTGGAGGTTTAGTTTTTGTTTATTTGTTTGTTTATTTATTTTTAAAATGTTTTATTTATTTCCGAGAGAGAGAGAGAGACAGTGTGAGCAGGGGAGGGTCAGAGAGAGGGAGACACAGAATCTGAAGCAGCCTCCAGGCTCTGAGCTGTCAGCACAGAGCCAGACATGGGGCTCAAACCCACGAACCGTAAGATTATGACCTGAGCTGAAGTCGGACTCTTAACTGACTGAGCCACCCAGGTGCCCCTGTATATTTATTTTTGAATAGATAATATATTCATGTTCAAAACTTAAAAAAAATTATACAATGAAACACACTCATCCCTGGCCACCCAACTACCATTATTCCCTAGCTGCCCCCAGGAGGCCATGCATGTTTTATAGACTGATGAGTGGGTGTTCTACTATTAGATGGAGGGAGGGAAGAGGAGGGGAGAGAAGAGAAAACTTACCTGAGGATATGATGCTTCAAGTTTGAAGCATGAATGTGAAGTGAAGAAGACTGCAAAGGGTTAGGGGAAGCATTTAGATAGAAGCAATAGCTTATGCAAAGGCCCCATGGCAGGAGACAGCTTGACGTATTAGAAAGATGAAAAGAAAAAAAAAAAAAAGAAAGATGAAAAGAAAGCCCATGTGGCCGGAGTGCAGAAAGCAAGGGGAGAAGTCCGGGATGCTGCTGGGTGGGGAGCATGTGGTCTTGTAACTGTCATAGCATCGTAGACTTTCCCCCTAAAAGCCGAGAGGATATAACCTTCAATCACATTTGGATTTTGAAAATGTTATCCTGGCTGTACTATGGAGAATGGATCGGAGGGGAGAGCAGTTAATGTGTTTATTTAGTTCCGGTAAGAAATGATGTGGCTTGGTGGTGGTGCTATATCTACATATATTGCAAGAAACGTATTGGTATAAAAGGTTCCTGCTTCTGAAAAATGTTAACAAAATACTTGTTTCAATTCTCTCAACTGAGGGGAAGAAAATTACATAATAAGAGTTTGCCTAGAACGTAGTTAACACCTGGCTGTATTTGGTCCAAGCATGTGGCCAAACTGACAGGATAATTTAACATCCTGTAAAAGGTTGATGGACAAGGGGCTGAAGTCTCATAAAATCTTGCTAGAAGCCTTCTGGTCCAGCCTCCTGCCTGACCACCCTCTGAAGACATCTCCCCTGTGCGGGAGCCCTCCAGTGGTTGGAGATTGTTACTGTTGTTACCAAGTCATAACAGAATGACCAGGTGGGTGACGTGCACTAGTTAGGAAACAAATCACTACAACACCTGATGGCTGTACTTGTTTGGTATTTGCACACTTAACTTTCCTTCTGTTAATCCCCTGCAGAATGGCTTATTCTGAGGCGCATGGAGGGGTCCCCTGTGGTTTCATCCGCCAGAATTCCGGCAACTCCATTTCCCTGGACTTCGAGCCGGACACAGAGTACCGGTTTGTGGAGCAACTGGAAGAACGTTACAAATGTGCCTTCTGCCACTCGGTGCTTCACAACCCGCACCAGACGGGGTGCGGGCACCGCTTCTGCCAGCACTGCATCCTGTCCCTGAGGTGAGTGGGCAGGACCCACGGCCGTGGCCAGAACAGACGGGGCTGTTCCTGGGATGTAAGTGTCAGACGTGGCCGCTTGACTGTAATTGTGGTTTTTGGAATTGCTGTGGCTGGCCACAGAACCACGAACACGAGGAGGGGCTCTCCCAGGGCCCTTCTCTAGTAGCCTGAGGAATAACCTTTTTTTTTTCCAGTCACTTATTGATAGTCACCTTTTTTTCCTCTTTAAAAAAATTTTAAAAAATTCAATTCCTAGTAAGTTCTCTTGAATCCATTTTTAATATCTAATATTGTACAGGTTGGAGAGCTCTATCTAGAATGTAGACATTTATAAAATCAATTTCAAATGCATCATTTTTCTATATTTAAGACCAAAGCACATAAATGGTACCATAGAGCTTAGAGAGGAAATATATTTCTCCTGTATACTTGAGAAAATGTGAAGTCCTTTTCAAGAAAATCTAAGAGACAGAACAGTCCTACCAATTAGGAAAGAGGGCCTCGTTCACTCTTTCATGCAGTGATTTACTGGTCACTTAGTGATTTCCAAATTGGATGGCTGTAGTAACTTATTTATGCTGGTACCTCTGAAAGTGAGCCCTGGGATCCATATTTGTTTTATGTTCGGCTTGCATCAGCGAGAATAATAAGTTTGATGGTGTGAAAAAATAATAAAAAAATAAATGATGAGTAAAAAATAAAATTCAAGTATAATTAACATACAGTGTTCTGCTAGTTTCGGGTGTACAGTGTAATGATTCAACAATCCTCTCCATTACTCAGGGCTCATGAGAGTCACCTTTTCTTGGCATTTAGAGCACATGCGAGGCAAAGCTTGATGCACAGTCTGTGTTGGGAAGGACTTGCATCTCACAGGGGTCTGTGTAGTCGTCGCTCCGACTTTTCCTTGCCTTCAGGCAGAGGTGGTGTCACATCCAGAATGGACCTCCATGCAATGGATGCTGTCCACTTCGGGCAGCGGGAAAACCTGGATCATGCCATTTGAGGGAGACCAGGAGAGCTATGGAAGCAGGCTGGGGGTGGGGAGGTTAGGGCAGTAAGTAAGTTGTTTCCTCCCAAGCTTAGAAAGGGGGTTATTACAGCACATTCTCATTCATTCATGGGTTTGTCCATTCAGCACCTGTGTGTTCCAGGCACCTTGCTAAACTAAGCTTTGGTGTATGGAGAGGAAGAGCCGGAGGTCATTGTGGAATAGGACCCACTCTCTGCCCTCCAGAACACTCCAGTCTAGTGAAAGAGAGACGTTGTGGCACAATGTGATAAGCAAAAGACTGCCGTGGGAGCACTGGCAGGGGACATTTAACTCTGTCTGGAGGACTGTTTGACTTTCGGCAGACTGGGGAGGTGCTGAAAGTGCAATGGGGGATGGGGGAGAGACACACCCTTCTTGGGGGAGGGAGCAGCAGGAGGGAAGACAGAACCCGGTATGTTGAAGGGGGAGCTGGAAGGGGCCATGCCTGGCTGGAGTGCTGGGCTGCTCTTGGGAGAGCTTTTGAGGTCAACTCTTAATTCCAGCTCTACTTTTATTTTTCTCTCCAGAGAATTAAATGCAGTCCCGCTCTGCCCTGTAGATAAGGAGGTTATCAAATCTCAGGAGGTAAGAAAATCACTGCTTTGGTTTAGCAGCTCTCTGGGTGATGGAGACGCCAGTGTCCTCAGTGTCCTAGGTTGAATTGGACATAGAGGTTGGAGCAGTAAGAGCGGGAGAGGGGGGCCTTTCTTGGAGTCCACATTCCTCTGCTGTGGGGCCAGGTCAAACCCCCTCCTACCACTGTTTCAGAGGCTTGTTTGTATCTTTATTGACGTCTCCCTCCCCCACGCCTGACCAAATTTCTACTCTGCCCTCTCCTTACCCTCTTCCAACACAAGCTCCAGGTACATTAAGTTGCTTGGAGAAATTAAACATCTGTTTCTTGGAATTCACTTTCTCCTCTGCTTAATTTCTAGAACTTCCTTTTATTATTATGTCTAACAATAGCTTTATTGAAGTATAATTCATATGCCAAAAATTTATCTTTAAAGTATACGTGTTTCATGGAAAATAGTAACATAAAATAAAGTGTACATGTTTCTTGGATATATACTTTGGAGTAGAATTCCTGGGTCATATGGTAATTCTGTTTAGGGCCATAATGGTAACTTTATGTGTAACATTCTGAAGAAGTCTTCAGATGATTTTCCAAAGCAACTGCACCATTTTACCTTCCTACCAGCAGGGTGTGAGAGTTCTAACATCTCTAGATCCTTGCCAAAAGTTGTTAATGGCCATTGTTTTGATTACAGTCTTTCTAGTGGGTACCTGTTTTGCTTTGCATTTCTCTAATAATTAATGATATTAAGCATCTTTTTGTGTTTTTGTTCATTTGTATATCGTCTGGGAGAAATACCTACTCAATTTCTTTTCCCATTTTTTAGTGGATTATTGGTCTTTTACTGTTGAGTTCTAAGAGCTCTTTATATATTCTGGATATAAGACTCTTATAAAATGTATGATTTGCAAGTATTTTTCTCCCATTCTGTGAGCTCTCTTTTCACTGTTTTGGTGGTATCCTCTGAAGCATGAAAGCTTTTCATTTTGATGAGATCTGACTTGTCTTTTGTTTATTTTGGTCGCTTGTTCGTTTAGTGTTGCATCTAAGAAACCATTACCTAACCTCTGATCATGAAGATTTTCTCCCTTAAAACTTCCTTTTAGGGACTCCTGGGTGGCTCAGTCAGTTAAACATCTGACTTTGGCCCAGGTCATGATCTGGCAGTCTGTGAGTTTGAGCCCCGCGTTGTGCTCTGTGCAGTCAGCTCAGAGCCTGGAACCTGCTTCAGATTCTGTGTCTCCCTCTCTCTCTGCTCCCACTTGCCCTCGTTCTCTCTCACTCTCTCTCAAAAATAAATAAACATTTTTAAAAAGTTAAAAAAAAAACCCACCTTCTTTTAAGCTCAGTTTTCTTCCTCCATAATTCTGTTACAGGACATTCAAGCATCACCTCCTCCAGGAAGCTCCCTGAGCACCTGGTCCGACGTACATGCTCCTTCTCTGTGTTCTTATGTTGTGTTTTCCAAATGCCTAGCAGAGGACAGTGCCGTGTTTGTGTTTGCCTCTCCCACTAGACCAGGCGTTGGCGTACTGCAACATGAGATATGTTGGGACAAATCCAGCCTGCCACTGTTATTGTATGGCCCATGAGCTGAGAATGGTTTTCACATAATCAATGAAAAAAATCCAAAGAAGTGTACACAGGAACTCTGTACTATTTTTGCATACCTCATGAGTCGGTAAACTATTTCAAAACAAAAACTTTATTTTATTAAATTTTAAAAAACGTTTATCTATTTTTGAGAGAGAGAGAGAGAAAGACAGAGTTTGAGTGGGTGGGGGGCAGAGAGAGGGAGACACAGACTCTGAACCAGGATCCAGGTTCCACTGATGTGGGGCTTGAACTCATGAACCGTGAGATCATGACCTGAGCTGAAGTCAGACGCTTAACCGACTGAGCCACCCAGGCACTCCAACAAAAAATTTATTTTAAAAGTCAAAAGAATAACATTTTGTGACACGTGTAAATGATATGAAATTTATATTTCAGTGTCCATAAATAATGTTTTATTGGAACACAGCCAAGCATATCCATTTAAGTATTGCGTGCAGCAGAGCTGAGTAGTTACAAAAGAAAACATCGCGTTGTGGCCTGCAAAGCTGAAAATACTCACTCTCTGATCCTTTATGGAGAAAGTTTGCCAACCCCTGGTGTGTGCTGAAATAGCATGTCCGCACAGCCTCAGTGACACTGCCTGATGACTAATACACAGTTTTATACTGTGACAGGAAGCTGAAAGCGTCACCCTCATCCACAGCCCACCTTCTGACCTTTGAGCATATGAGGTCAGGTGCACCATGAGATTCTCCTGCAGCCTATTGTGCTGAGCATTGAATTTCCTGGCTTGTATGTTCAGTGGCCTGTCGGAAATACGTATCTGAGAAAGCCTGTTCTTTTATGGTGGCGAATCTGATATTTCCATTCCAACCACTGTCTGGAAGTTTCCACCTGACTTTTTTTTTTTTTTTAACTTTTTTAAAATGTTTATTTATTTTTGAGAGACAAAGAGACAGAGTGTGAACTGGGGAGGGGCAGAGAGAAGAGGGAGACACAGACTCTGAAGCAAGCTCCAGGCCCCTAGCTGTCATCACAGAGCCTGACATGGGGCTCGAACCCATGAGCCATGAGATCATAACCTGAGCCGAAGTCGGATGCTTAACCGACTGAGCCACCCAGGTGTCCCTCCACCTGATTTTGAGATGTATTTGAAGATTAAATTAATAACAGTTTCATTCACATTGTTCTGAAGGTTTGGATTGTATGAGACCTGTTATATTTCTCTTTTAGGTGTTTAAAGACAATTGCTGCAAGAGAGAAGTCCTCAACTTATATGTGTATTGCAAAAATGCTCCTTTATGTAATGCCAAGAGTATTCTGGGACGATACCAGGTGGGTATTACTCATGACCAATATTTGTTTTTGCCATCTTGCCAGTGGCATGTACTGAACACCTTTATATGACAGTTACTGGGCTAAGCATGATAGAGAGTTCACTGGGTTGCCCTCAGAGAATTCCTGTTTAGCAATATGGTTGGCTACAGTGCAGCACTACAAGAGCTAAGTGTGGGTGAAGGGGTCGGTCTCATATGGGACGCATGGAGGGCATACTGTATGTGACTAGACCTACATTGTTGGTTAGGGGTCCTTGACCGAAAAGAGAAGATGTGGGACATGCTGACCAAAAGGACCTGTCATTCTGGGGAACTGTAAGGATTTGGGGTCCCCAGGGTGGGAGCCAGAGCAGCCTGCAGAAAGAGACGATTGCAACGGTCCCTGTCCAAAAGCATTGTCAGGTGCTGGGTGGGTGTTTCCCAGCAGCTGTGGGCCCCAGCTCTCTGGTTTATGATCCGAGGCATCTAATGTAGAACAGAGCAGAACTAGGATGTGATTTAAAGGTGAAGCGTTGGTATGAGCCACAAACACACAAGGTGTAGGGGAAGCGAGGGGGAGTTTCTCCCACATGAAACTGCCCTGCCTGGTTCTTCCATCCAGCTGGGGAAACTCAATAAATGGGAAGCTGGAAGTGAGGCTCTGTCACGGCAGGCCCGTATCAGGTTTGATCACACTGTGAAGGAGTAAGAAGTGGGCATCTTTCGCTTCCAGAGAATTGCTTGGGAGCTGCTGAAATTTTCCTCTCCCACCCACACCTTTTGTAACATATTTCAGGTGATTCAGCCTTTTCTCCACCTTACCTCTGAACCCCCCCCCAGGCACTGAGCTTGTAAATGAGTAAATGATTTCCTTGTTAACCCCAGGATTTCTCTGGGGGTTCACCGACCTCTCTTGAGTTGATAAGCCCCGGAACAAGGCCTCTTTCCAGCTTCGTTGTCACGAAGCCTGAAAAGGAAATGAGGCTCAAACGGACCATCCGTCCATCAGCTTTTGTGACCAGATCTTCACCTTCTAGAGAATAGTGGCTGGTTTCTTTGCACCTGTTTCTTTTGTATTTCCCCTCATTCCTGTCCCCCTTCCCCCACCCCGGCTTGCAAAGGTGACGTGAAGGTTCTCCCAGTAGGAGAATCCTGATGAATGTTCACTATTTTGGTGAGAGCAGAGGGGTAGCAGCAGTGAATTTTCTAGAAGATATGGATTTCAGTGGTCATTATTTGTTGATCCTAAAAGTAAAAGAGAGTAGCTGTAATATTTATTTACCTCCTGCAGAAAGACTGGTTGTGTTTTCTCTCCTTCAGGAAGGGGTCAGCAAGGTGTTTCTGTCAAAAGCCAGTGAGTAGATTTTTTAGGCTTTGTAGGCCATACGATCTGTGTATCAGCCACTCAGCTGTTCCATTTCAGATGGGAAGCGGCTGCTAGCTGTATGTGAACAAATAGGTGTGGCTGTTCTCCAGAAAAACTTTATTTACAAAAGCAAGTACAGGCCAGATTTGGCCCAAGAGCCGGACCTTGCCAACATTGTCTTAAGGGATCTTGCTGGGAACAAACTCACTAGGGGTTTTGAGAACTTGTTAGCATCACAATAACTTGCAGGGATCCAAAGGTTTTATTGATATACCTCCTGCTTGGGGCACCTGGGTGGCTAAATCCATGAAGCGTCCAACTTTGGCTCAGGTCATGATCTCACGGTTCCTGAGTTTGAGCCCTGCATCGGCATTAGCTCAGATCCCACTTCAGAACCTCTGTTCTCCTCTCTGCCTGCCCCTCTCCCACTAGCTCTCTTTTCCTCTCTTGCTCTCAAAATATAAATAAACATTCAAAAAGAAAAAAAGATACACCTCCTGCTTTTCCAAATGGATACCATGAAGAATATTGGAACGAATACTGCCCATGTTATCGTTGTCTCACATTCTGGTTAAGAACATTTCCTGACTAACAAGCCTGACCACTCCCAGCTTCTCTTAGGCCTGTGATTCTTTTTTTTTTTTTTTCCCTTTATCTGCTTTTCTTGACCACTTCTGGAACAGCTCTCTCTCCTTCCCCTTTCTTCCTTTTATAATCCTTTCCTTTCCTTCATATAGTTGGGATATGCCCCATTCTTCTTTGCTCTTTCCCTCCATCCCAACTTTTAAGTCTGCCATGCAGAGATTAGTACTTGGTGCTCGGGGTGGGGATGGAGGGTGCACAGAAGAAATTAAAAATGCCCTTGAAGGACTGGTAAATTACTCCACAAGCCTAAGGAAAGTATTCAGGGACTACCCTGCGAATGTGGGCATGTTACTAGATTATCTAAAATAGACTCAGCTTGCTTCCTTCTTCAGTCATCTTCCCTGTCCTCCTAACTCCTACCAAACAAGGCTGGCCGTCACAGCCTCCATCTGGGCAGCCCCATCCGTGCCCTCTCCTCTGCAGCCCTGTCTGCCCAGCTGCCCCCAGTATCCACCCCCAGGCTTCCAGCAGACTCCCCTTCTCACCACCTTGGTCAGCGGGGCCCACTGGCCTGTGTTATCTGTTGCAGGACCACCTCCAGCAATGCCCGTTTCAAGCCGTGCAGTGTTCTAATGAGAACTGTCAGAAGCCAGTCCTTCGGAAAGATCTGAAAGAACATTTGAGCGAATATTGCCAGTTTCGAGAGGAAAAATGCCTTTATTGCAAAAAAGATGTGGTAGTGATCAATCTACAGGTAAAAAAAAGGAAGGAAGGAAGGAAGGAAGGAAAGAAAGAAAGAAAGAAAGAAAGAAAGAAAGAAAGAAAGAAAGAAAGAAAGAAAGAGAGAGAGGGAGAGAAAAGAAAAAAGAAATGAAAAGAAATGAAAAGAAAAGAAAAAAATTGTCTTTATGGGACTGAATTCTACCTGAGTGGTCACAGTGAATTTATTTTTGTACAGAAATAGGTCCAAAGAATTATCTGAGAGTTCCATAAAAAGGCGAAAACCTTCTTGTTGGTAGGACCCTTCTCATTTATCATTGGCAAAAGCATTGTTTGAGCACTTACTGAGTGTGAGTGTGCAAAGAGCCATGCTAGTTATTGGGTCAAGAGGAGGTGACGATACTGTGTCCTCAGGGTGCTTCAGTCCATCTGGAGTGGCAGGACATAGGCAGAAAAAGAGAGCATGCTTTTCACATGTACCATACTGATGACTTGCAAAGTCTACCCTCTATGAGTCCTACGCCCTCTGACTTTCTTTTGGAATAATTGGAAAATGGAATTGATTTATGTGAAGAAAGCGGCCATCTTTATTTAGTCCTTTTTGGAAGTTGGCTGTATCTTCCTGTAGAGGGCAAGCCACATAACATAGATCCCTAGAGATCTATGCATAAACAGTCTGAGGCCATAGTAGGGAACCCTTGGAAGCACGATTTGGCTCTGTTTCATCACACTTTCTCTGTTTCAGAATCATGAGGAAAACTTGTGTCCTGAATACCCGGTATCTTGTCCTAACAAGTGTTTGCAGATGATTCCAAGAGCTGAGGTAACTGTAAATGATTCACTTAGTAGATTTTATATAAGATAAAGTTTTAGTAACCAATGTGTGTGTGTTTGATAAAATCCCACAGGCAGAAGCCCAAGGTTTAAATAACCCCCATGACAGCCATGTTTCTGTGTTCCCTTCCCTTTTCCCCGAGAATTCCTCTCAATTTTTACCATAGCTCTCCCTCCGCCAGGCCTCAGCATGGCTTTTCCCCTTCTGTTCCCTCCCTTCTTCCCAAGATACCCTTGGTTCCCTGCATGCTGCGGTTCTATCAGGCAGTTAGAGAATTGGTGATGAATTTCTGTTTCGTAGGTGGATGAACACCTTGCTGTGTGTCCTGAAGCGGAACAAGACTGTCCTTTTAAGCACTATGGCTGTACTGTAAAGGTATGGAATGCCTTTTTGTTTCTGCCTCTGCATTCTACTGTTTCATTTATTCAGCAGGCTTATTTTACTCTCTGACTCCATTTAGGATGTAGAAGGACTTTCACTTTGGAGAACTTTAAGACTGGTGATTTTAGTCAGGGTTCTTTAGAAAAACAGAATCAATGGGAGATACATACCTACATATACATATAGAGACTTATTTTAAGAAATTAGCTTATGTGATCGTGGGGACTGGCGAATCTGATTATTTGCAGGGCAGACCAGCAGTTTGGAAATTCTGGCTGGAGTTTCTAGGTTGTAGTCTTGAGAAGTGATCCTTCTTCAGGAAACTTTATTCTTTGCTCTTAAAAGGTGGTTGGACGAGGCCCTCCCACATGCCATAGAGTAATCGGCTTTACTTAAAGTCAACTGATTTGTAAATGTTAATCACAGATACAAAAGGTCTTCACAGTAACATCTAGATTAGTGTTGACCAAACAACTGGGCACCATAGTCTAGCCAAGCTGACACATAAAATTAACCATCATGGTAATTATTTCTAAATCAGATTCCACTGTCTCTACCAGATTTTGAGACTTTCTGGAGTCATAATTCTGATGGTTATAAATCTTGGTTTTATGGTATGCCATCTACCACCACGGATTTTGAAACAGAATTGATTTGAAATCATGTTTTAAAATGTATTTTATTACCTATTAAACACGTTTAAGGATGTTATTTTAAAAATTGTATAAAATATGAAAAGAAAAGAAAGCTTGCTTCCTACCTCATTTTAACAGATTCTAGATGGATCAAACTTTTAGGTATTAAAAGTTATTAAAAATATCATACACTGTATTATTTCATACTTTGTATCATCTAAAATTACTCCAAACACAAAGTTTATTGTAGGGGCACCAGGGTTGAGTGCCCAACTCTTGGTTTCAGCTCAGGTCATGGTCTCATGATCTTTTGGGTTCAAGCCTTGCATTGGGCTTGCGCTGACAGCATGGAGTCTGCTTGGGTTTCTCTCTCTCTCTCTCTCTCTCTCTCTCACTCTCTCTGTCTGTCTCTCTCAAAATAAATAAACTTTAAAATTTTATTTTACAAATCATAAAAAATGACTTGTAAAGAAAAAGTGAGTGAATTTTTTTATTCTTTTTTTTTTTTAATTAAAAATTTTTATTGTTTATATTTGAGAGAGAGACAGAGTGCGAGCAGGGGAGGGGCAGAGAGAGAGGAAGACACAGAATTCAAAGCAGGCTCCAGGCTCTGAGCGTCAGCACAGAGCCCGATGCGGGGCTCAGACTCACAAACTGCGAGATCATGACCTGAGCTAAAGTTGGATGCCTAATAGACTAAGCCACCGAGGTGCTCCTGAATGTTTTTATTCGTGATATAAAAGTCTTTCTTAGATGACTAACACAAAACCAGGAGATATAATTTTGATGTTTGACCATAAATATTTAAAACTTTTATATGATTTTTTTAAATGACATAAATAAAATCAAATGGCAAACCACAAACTGGAGGTACAAAGCTTCAACATATGACAAGACAAAAAAGGATATTTTCCTAAATAGACAAAGAATCCTTACACTAGGCAAAGGAATATATGAGTAAGTTTCAGAAAAAAAATTCATTTGGCTAACAGATGTAAGAAAAGACACTTAATCTCACACCTAAATGTAAATTATAATAAGAAATATAACTTTCACCATCAAATTCACAAAGATTAAAACAATTTATAATATCCCAACTTTTTTTGAGGACAATTTAGTTATATCTATGAAAAGTGAGGGACACCTGGCCACCTTAGTTGGTAGAGCATGTGACACTTGAGCTCAAGGTTGTGAGTTCAAGCCCCACATTAGCATAGAACTTACTTATTTTTTTCTTTTTTCTTCTTTTTTTTGAGAGAGGGTGCAAGTGAGCAAAAGGCAGAGAGAGAGAGAGAATCCTATGAGGGGCAGAGAGAGAGAAGCAGGACTCACCTGAATTGGGGCTCTTGCTCACCCCATTCAGGGCACAAGCTCACCTCATGTGGCACTAGAAGTCATGAACCATGAGATAATGAACTGAGCCAAAGTCAGATGCTTAACAACTGAACCGTCCAGGTGCCCAGAGCTTATTTTTAAAAAATAATTTTTTTATTAAAAAAAAGAAAAGGTAAACCCATACATTGGCCTTGTAATTCTATTGTTAGCAATTTATCTCACATTAATTCTTTGATAAGTATGCAGTGATTACACAAATATACAAATACACTCACACAAAGCTGTTTATATAGCAAAAGACAACAAAATACTAAAATCCTGTAAGTCCATCAGTAAATTACTATGTAATTTTTATTATATATTATAATATATTATTTATGTTTTGGAATACCACGCATCTGATAAAAAGAATGGGATATGTATTTTTTAAAATGAAATATGCTTATGATCTCATTTAGTTAACAAATGTGTATATATCTTCGCTGACTGGTGAGTGAGAGACAGAAAATTGGATGTGGTGCTGCAAAAAAGAGGAATTTTGCTTTTCATTCTGTATCTTGCTGTATTGTTTGACATAAGCACATCTTTCTCTTATTTTAAGAGCCTATTTGAAAAAAATGCATATTGTGGGAAGCCTTTAAAAAAAATCAGTGAAGAGTCCACAAATTTTCACGTATCTAACCAGTGACTGCCTTGGTTACAAAAAGGATAGAGTTTACCTTTTTAGTGCATGAAATATGGAACTGCTTTCTAGCTCTGAAAGGAATCTTCCTCATAGTTAGGTCTAAACTCCCAGTTGGGCTGTAGTCTAGACCTTCCAGGATGAGGAGAAGGTGGAAGAGGAGAGGTATTTATTCTCTGGAAAAGGGGCCAATCCTGAACTGAAGGAAAATTGTTGATAAATATACACTTTGGTTCACGGATCACCCAAAACATCTACCACTTGCTTTTACTAATGATATAGGCAGTTTGCAATTCAGTATTTTAATGATTAGGGAAGAAATGACCCTTTATTCTTGCAAACCTGTTATTTGATTTTGAGGGCTACAGATTTGCCTGGGCTGATGTAACAGTTTGGTTGCATGCCTGTGACCTTTGATAGAAGGCAGCATGGAAATGTGTGCTTGGTAGGAGAGAGAACTAACCTAGGCTTGAAAATGATCTGAAGCTAACCCGCCAAGGAGATAGGTTTTGTGAGGGAATAGTTGACAGAGGATAACTACACTTGACCCACGGTCATATATTCCCAGCGCAAGGAAGGAAATCTGTGCTGAGAATTTTGACAGTGGCCTGATTCTCTGTTTCTGTAAGTTTAAAATGGTCTCATGGGCACTGTAGAATCCTCTGGCTGGAAAAGGGATTGGGAGGGGCTGTTTCTCCTGCGACTCACCTTCCGACAAGCAAGCAAAATTGTTACAGGTCTGCTTTAGCAGAATATCTCGCCATTACCTTCATGTTTGGAGCCTTTCCACAGCCTGACTTCCTTTCCTCTTCACACTGAAGGATAAACGGGGGAACCTGCTGGAACATGAGCATTCAGCCTTACGGGACCACATGCTTCTGGTTTTAGAAAAGAACTTCCGGTTAGAAGAACAGGTAAATATTCAAGGGTTTGGATGTAAAGGGAGGCAGCACAACCACTGGGGCTGGTAATGGTTGGTATTTTTATAGTCTCATCTGTCTCAGTACATGTTGACCGGAGGTAGATGTTTTTCTACTAAGCGGCCAGGCAGACTCATAGGATTATAGAACATTTGAACTGGAAGGTGCCTTTGAGATCTCTGGGCCCAACCCTCTCATTTAGCAGATGAAGTAACTAAGCTCAAAGACATTTTGATGTGTTTGTAACTTGTAAGCGGCAGTTTGCTTTCAAACCCATGTCCCTTGATTCTTAGTCCAGAAATAGCATGCTACCTCTGTGCAGCCTATCCACACGCTTTTGGCTAATATCTGGCACCTGGTAGGTGACTAGTAGGTACTTGATGTTTTTGAATTAGACCAATCTTACCATGAAGCAATCATTTCTATCTGTTCTAGGCATTATGGGTTTTATATGTTTTCTAGTTAAGTCTTAACTCCTGCCTATGAAAAGCTTTGCAGCCTGATAAATGCATACATAAATATTTATTTCACTGAGTTGTGATTACCAAGTGAAGTTACGTGTGCAAATGCCTGCCACAGTCCCTGGAATACTCATAATGGACCTCAATAAATGCTGATTCTATTGAGTAATTATTATAAAAGTTAATTATTTTGTTAGAACATCTCAGAGGATCAGACTTCTCAAGCCCTTGTCGGGAAGAGAGGGAGCTGAATTCTCTTACTGCCGATTCATTTATGATGTTTAATTTCATATTCAAGTAGGTATGTGAGTTTCAAGGTCAGACCCTGAAGAAAATAGCGAAGACCAATTAGACTGTGACTTTGGTAGAGGGCACACTGCCCGATAACCATTCCCAAGTTCTTTCTGTACCACTTGCCTCATCCACTCATTCAACAAACAGCTGCCATACGTCAGGTATGAGATTCGTTGCTAGGGTCTCTGAGTCAAGGATGACACGGCTTCTGCCCTTGAAGGACTCACGAAAGTGCAAATAGATAAGTTGCTGTGCCATTGGACACGCTGTTGCTCAGTCCGGGGTACAGAGGCTACCGCAGTTTGCTCTGTGGGATTTGGGGAAAGCTCTTCAAGGTAGCACATCTGAGCCTCGTTTTTAAGGAAGAAAAGATTTGTCAACTTAAATGTTGTGGAGAGAGAATGTTCCAGAAAAGGAAAGCTTGTGCCAAGACAGAGAGTTATGAGAGAGGCTGATGGTGCAAGGAACTAGGGTTTTGGGGTGGTAAGCCTCCTGAGTTTCAGACAGAAAGAGCTGGAGACTCTGTGTGCTGGATTCAGATTGCAATGGCCTTCCATGTACATGCAGAAACTGTACATTCAGTTATTTTTTATTCATTCACATCTGCTCTGTTTCAGAAAGGATTTAAGGGCCAAAATTTGAACTAATGTTTGTCAGTAATGGGGAGCCAGTGGAGGTTTCGAGATAGGAAAATACAGGTTTCCCCTACTATGGGAACTAGAGCAATCCTATGAAACCTTTCATAAGCCGATGTGGTGTAAAGCACAGACGCAATTACCATTTCATGAAAGTGAAAATCCTCTTTGATTTCTTTTGATTAGTGAAAACAGGCACTAATGCAGGTCTTTCATGAAAGCAAAGTGGCGTAAAGTGAAGTTTTGGATAATGGGGGCAGGTGAAGACCATTACTTGGCCAGCTAATTGTTTGTTTTCATAAGATAAGGTAGCTGGTGATAGCATAGAAGATGGATAGAGGGAGAGGAGAGCGTGAGGACGGGGGACCAGGCAGAAGGCTGTTGTCATTAACTAGACAGTAGAGCAGTAGAGCCTGGCAATTGAAGAGTGAGGGCTCTGGAGCCAGATTGCCTGGTTTCCAGACCTGGCCCCACACTTGCCCTATGAGTTTGGACAAGCTCTTCTCCAATTGCCTCATTCATAAAATGGGGTTGTTGAAAGGGCTAAATGAACTAATATATTTAAGCTCTTAGCACAGTGCCAACGTAAAAAACGGTTCGGTATTAGGTGAAGGCAAAATACCAGAAGTGATGGTGCTGGTGGAGATGGAGAGGGCATTGAGAGACACTTCAAGGTCACAATGGAAAGCTGTAAGTTTAGAAGGCGGAGAACATGGTAGTTATTAACTGAGATGGACATTCCAGGGCCAGGAGCGGGGTAGAGGTGAGGGTGGGGAGAGGAGACACTGAGGTTTGCTTTTTGTCAAGGAGATATGTCTGCCATGTAGACAGAAGTCAGCTCTCAGGATCTAAATAGAAGATTCTGGGGCCAGAGAGCACATAGTTGTTGCAGCCATTTGTTCATTTATAAAACATGTATCAAATACCCTCTGTGTGCCAGGCACTGTGCAAGGGTTTGGGGATGAAGAAATAAGGGAGATGTAGCCTCAATAATTTAGTGTAGGAAAAAGACCAAAACAACCCCAAAAAGCAGTAAGTAGTAGAGAGTAGTGAAGGTAAGTGAAATGCTAGAATGTAGTCAGAGGGTCTTAGAACTTGAAAGATGACCTAGTAGGTGGTACTAGTGAAGTAATGTTTCTGAGAGAAAGTGCCCTTGAGTGGAGGCTTAAAAAGTGGTAGTTTCTAGATGGAGGAGGAAGTGTGTGAGAGACGAGGGCCCAATTGACAATAGAAATGTGTAGTCTTGCTGGGCAGGGCACAGTTGGGATGGGAATAGGCCAGGGGCAGATCACGTAGGGCCCTGTAGGGTCTGTAAAGAAACCCACTAAGGGAGGAAGGTGACAAGACCAGATTTGTCTCTGGTTACAGCATGGAGGATGAACTGGCGAAAAACAAAACTAAAGAAAGGGAGAGCATCATTCACTCATACTCAACGAATATTTATCAAACACCTGCAGATGCGAGGCACCAGACCAGTTGCCAGGGTTACAGTGGGCTGTGGGATGTGTGTCCCAGTTCCCATAGAGCTTCCCATATGGCGGGAGGGTAAGGGATGGTGTAGGACCGGTTGGGAAGCTGTTGTAGCAGCGCAGGTGAGACATAAGGCTAAAGCAGGTGAGAAATGAAATGAGATGAAATGAGAAGTGGATACAAGAATCGGTTGTTTTGTTGTGTGTCAGGAGTTTAAAGTTGGTCAGTACTGCTGGATGAGTGGATGAGGCGGTAAGAGGAGGGTTTTCTGGGCTCACACTAAAGCTTTTGGTTATTTCCCTGAAATACATTACAGATTCTAAGAGCATATCCTGTCTTGCCTACTGCTTGCTAAGCTAGCTGTACCTTAAACTTTCTACCCCTGTTTCCTTATCTACAAAATGGGACTGATCGTCATACCCAATTCACAGGGTTCTTTGAGAATTAAAAGAGCTCAAGAATACAAGGGTATGACAGACGTTCAGCAAATGTCAGCTATTATTATTGATACTGTGCAGATAGCATCTGTTGTGCTGTGGTGATCAGTACTGTGTGGCTGTTTAATAAGTGTATACTGAATGAATGAAGGAACTAGTTCAGTAAATTTTGTCAAGTGATGTCGCTATCATTAGATGAACCATCATAGTGGGTTAAGTATAGAAAAGGCTGATGAGAAATCTGTGGGTCTGGTTTTTTTGAAGCATCTGCAAATATTGTATAGGAATCTGCCTGTAAATATTTTCCTAGAAATATCTTTTTAAAAATTTATTTATTTATTGAAATTTTATTTAAATCCAAGTTAATAGTAGAATTTAGTGACTTATCACTTACATGTATATATTTTTCTAGAAACTCTATCTGCAATATTTTCCTAGACTTACATTTAAATTATTTTAACTGGTATACATGCACCTTTGTGATCTCATTCCCATTTCTGTTATTAGATTTCTGATTTATATAAGAACCTAGAACAGAAAGAAAGTAAAATCCAGCAGTTAGCAGAAACTGTAAAGAAATTCGAAAAGGAGTTCAAGCAGTTTGCACAGCTACTTGGCAAAAATGGAAGCTTCCTCTCAAACATCCAGGTGAGAAATGGCCTCTCTATTCATAGCCAAGATTTAGTCTGCAATTGGCAATCAGGGTTTTTCTTATAACTTTTTTTTTTTTTTACAAATAGTTTATTGTCAAATTAGTTTCCACATAACACTCAGTGCTCATCCCCACAAGTGTCCTCCTCCATGCCCATTCCCCCTCCCCCCGGTTTTTCTTATAACTTAAGTGGAGATAATTTCAAATGTAAAGAAAACCTACACGAGTAAGATAGTGCTTAACAATACCCATGTATTCTTGGGATGCCTGGGTGGCTCAGTTAAGTGTGAGACGGGCTCAGGTCATGATCTCATAGTTGGTGAGTTCGAGCCCCATGTTAGGCTCTCTGCTGTCAGCACAGAGCCCGCTTCGGATCTTCTGCCCCTCCCCTGCTTGTGCTCTCTCTCTCTCCCTCAAAAAAAACAAGCAAGCAAGCAAACAAACAAACAAACAAAAAACCTGTGCATTTTCTACCCAAATTCCCCCACTGTGAATATTTTGTTGTGTATCTCTCTACATCTGTCTGTTGCTGTATGTGTGTGTATGTTCTTTCTGAACCATTTGTGAGGAAGCTGTATATATTATGGCCTGTACCTGTACACACTTCAGTATGTGTTTCATAAGAGTAAAGATCTTTTGGGGCACCTGGGTGGCTCAGTCGGTTGGGTGTCCGGCTTCGGCTCAGATCATGATCTCATGTCTTGTAAGTTCAAGCCCCGCATCAGGCTCTGTGCTGACAGCTTGGAGCCTGGAGCCTGCTTTCAGATTGTGTGTCTCCCTCTCTCTCAGTCCCTCCCCCACTCACGTTCTGTCTCTCTTTCTCTTCTTCAAAAATAAATAAACATTTAAAAATTAAAGAAAAAAAAGAATAAAGATCTTTTGCATAACCCCAGTAGATATAACAATGTCAGTAAATTAATAATTATGTAGTTATAATATATTTCTGTTATATTTAATTATAATAGAATTAAGGCAATTAATTTAATTGGTATATTTTTATATAATTTATGGCAATTAGGGCTATAATTAATATTATTATAATTAATAATTAATCATAGATTCATTGAGTGTATCCATAGTTGACAAAGTGAAACTCTTAATTCCCTTGGGAATAAAATGCTTTATTAAAAAATTTTTTAAATATTTATTTATTTTTGAGAGGGAGAGACAGAGTGTGAGCAGGGGAAGGGCAGAGAGAGAGGGAGACACAGAATCTGAAGCAGGCTCCAGGCTCTAAGCTGTCAGCACAGTGGGGCTCGAACTCATGAGATGTGAGATCATGACCTGAGCTGATGTCAAATGCTTAACCAAGTGAGTCACCACCTGGTGGCTTTAAACAACACTAAAATATATAAAAAATTTGCGGGGCGCCTGGGTGTCTCAGTCAGTTAAGTGTCCGACTTCGGCTCAGGTCGTGATCTCACGGTTCATGGGTTTGAGCCCTGTGTCAGACTCTGTGCTGACTGCCAGCTCAGAGCCTGGAGCCTCTTTCAGATTCTGTATCTCCCTCTCTCTCTGACCTCCCCTGCTCATGCTGTATCTCTCTCTCTCTCTCAAAAATAAAGAAAACATTTAAAAAATTACTTTGCAAATCATGAATGTTAAGTAACCATAAACAAATTTCTAATGATAATATCTTTATTATAATTATAATATTTATGGTGAAAAGGGCTTTTTAATGTTTATTTTTTAGAGAGACGGAGATATGAGCAGGGCAGGAGCAGAGAGAAAGGGAGAGAGAGAGAGAGAGAGAGAGAGAGAGAGAGAGAGAGAATCTCAAGCAGGCTCTGCACTGTCAGCAGGGAGACTGACATGGAGCTTGAACCGAAGTTGGACACTAAACCGACTGAGCCACCCAGGCACCCCTATGGTGAAAAAAGATTTTAAGACATGTGGTATGGTAGAAGTTTTGAAATGTGGATTATCCCAGGAGAAGGTAGGCCATGTAACTTCATGCTTTGTCAGCACACTGTGTGTGTGTGTGTATGTGTGTGTAAAAAGGAAATCCTTATTTGTTACTATCTCAATTCTGACCTTTTTCTAACACAAAAACCTGTCAGAGTTAAGGTCCTGAGGGACAAGTGTGGAGAAGTATGGGTCTAGTTTTATTTACTCTCTGCCATCTAGGGAGAACAATCTAACGTTCAGGCCTTACCTCAGGGCACTTCTGAACCACCTGTAGTGCTCAGGCCAGAAGAGGTGGGTCTACTTCCTGCTTATTCTCTGCCTTGTAGCGAAGCAGGTGTGGAGTGGATCTGGAGAATAGCCTCTGAGAAGGAAGTGATTAAGGCAAGAGAAGAGACAACAGGAGAACAGAGATACAAAGATAGTTTAGAGCACCGAAGGGAGAGAAGCTGAGGGAGAAGTAAAGTCAGATGAAGAGAAGTTCAAAAATTTGGAACTGTAACTGCTATCAGGAGGAGGAGGAAGATACTAGGTGGTTCATCTCTCTGCAAACCTCACTGAATTTTCTCTCCCAGACTGTGCATTTTAATTGCTTTAATTGATTAATTAAATGTGAAATGTTTGAGTTGAAAAAATTTAATCTCAATGAATTACTGAGATACTAACTTTTTTTTTTTTTTTAAACGCTACAATTCATGTACTGAAAGGCCCTTGCCAGTCACATTGACAAGTCTGCTTGGCTAGAAGCTCAAGTGCGTCAGCTATTACAGATGGCTAATCAGCAACAAAATAAGTTTGACATGAGGACTTTGGTGGAAGCTATTGACACAGTGAAACAGAAAATTACTCTGCTAGAAACCAATGATCAAAGACTAGGTATGGCTCATATTTTACTTCTCTCTGGATGACTGTATTGTCTGCATGTGTTTCTGGAACAAGCAAACACCTGGCCAGATGGAGAGTTGCAGCTGTCCAGGATAAACAGTGGTGGGGTCTGGTATTTGTGAAACAGAGCAGCATGAGATTCTGGCCACTTGGGGGGAAAACGATGGACAGCGATGAGTGGGGGCTGGAACAGGCAAAGGGTAGAAATGGGCCAGGATATTCCAAAAACAGGGAGTAGTGGTTTTTAAGAACAGTGGAAAATAATGAGAAAACTAAGGGAGCGATGTGGTCGAAGTGTTGTTTAAAGTATAGGAAAATATGGAAGAGTTTGGCTGTTTAAAAGCATTCCAGTACTAAATAATGGGCCTCACCATCCTAACGAACACGAGTCAAATGCTGTGTGTCTTCTATACACTTTGATGAGCTTCAGTTCAAGAGCATGCATTTGGGTTTTCTTGGTGCTACTTTTGCCAAGATGTGAGATTCACTGGGTTAATTATTCATACAAATGATCCATTGGTGGACATTGAGTCCAGTTCATCTTTAGGATGTCAGAATTTTATTGTTCTCTTCCGATAACACAATTCCATTTTGGGAAAATTCTAAAGACAATTTTAAGGCCTATGGAATCTTTTTTTTTACTTTGCAGTTGTTTTGGAAGGGGAGACTAACAAACATGATGCCCACATTAATATTCATAAGGCACAACTGAATAAAAATGAAGAGCGGTTTAAACTGCTAGAAGGTGCCTGCTATAACGGAAAGCTCATCTGGAAGGTGACAGACTATAAGATGAAGAAGAGGGAGGCCCTGGACGGGCACACGGTGTCCATCTTCAGCCAGCCCTTCTACACCAGCCGGTGCGGGTACCGGCTCTGTGCGAGAGCATACCTGAACGGGGACGGGTCCGGGAAGGGGACACACCTGTCGCTATACTTTGTGGTGATGCGAGGGGAGTTTGACTCACTGTTGCAGTGGCCATTCAGGCAGAGGGTGACCCTGATGCTTTTGGACCAGAGTGGCAAAAAGAACCACATCATGGAGACCTTCAAGGCTGACCCCAATAGCAGTAGTTTTAAAAGACCTGATGGAGAGATGAACATTGCGTCTGGCTGCCCCCGCTTCGTGGCTCATTCCACTTTGGAGAGTGCCAAGAATACCTACATTAAAGATGACACCGTGTTCCTGAAAGTGGCCGTGGATTTAACTGACCTGGAGGATCTCTAGTCCCTGTTCCTGGAGTGATGAAGGGCTTGTTGGGTCCAGAACCACGGAGGAGGACACCCGTGATTATCATGCGGACTGACATTGAACTTAGTGCACATTTGTATTTGGCTTTTTGCCCCTTGGTGTTTGAAGTCAGTTGTAAACTTCTCAAGTGCTATCCTCTTTTTACATTTTACTCTGTTCCAGTTTGACACTTAAAACCTTAGAATATTCTCTCATTATTTATATTTTTATATTTCTTGAAAGATGTTAAGTTTCTTGAAACGAGGTCTGGGGCATATCTCTTTTACTGGTGCTTAGCATAGCGTCTCATGGTAGGCACTATGTGAAATGTTACTGAGGACACAGAGAAAGAATTGAAAATGCTTTGGTATTTTATTCTTTGGCCTGCTGATTTTAGACCTGACCATAAACCTTGTATGGCAAAAGCCATCTTCCAGGATAGACTTCCAGTTAAGTAGTTGGGTGGTGTACTTTGAAAGACAATATGCCCAGTTTGGACCAGACTTTTATTAGGTCAAATAAAAATTTGTAGAAATTACTACACCTCTAAATATTTTCACTAAAAATTGCCAGTAGTCAGTAAGTACAGTTTTGCAAGGCTGTGTTAGAAGTGGTGAATAGAGGAAGCATTTTATTCTCCCCGTTGAAGTAAACACAAAGTACTGCACTGTGTGTTGTGTGTGTGTGTATGTGTGTGTGTGTGTGTGTGTGTGTGTGTGTAGAGAGAGAGAGAGAGAGAAGGAGAGATAGTTTATACATATATATGGAGATATAGCCCTCCAACCAAAATTCATATTTTATTAAGGACAGCCATATGAAAAAAAAAAACCTGTTTTTATAGGTCAGAAAAGGTCAAGTATTAGCAGTTTCATAAGGTTCAATTTAGTACATATGTATGTACATGAATTTGTATACACCTAGTTTAGAGGTATGTTGGTAATAATAGTAAGTTACTGTGAGGATGGGCAGAATTTAGTATATGATGGAGAAGAAGGTCATAAATGGATAAGAGGAATTTAAAACCTAGGGAGAAAATCATTATTAGTCCTATGGTATCAGAAGTATTCCCATCCCAAACTGATTGCTAAAAGCAGTATCTCCTGTTCTTTTTGAGAGAACTTTTGAATTCACAAATTGGTATGAAAATGGGCATTTCTATAAACTTGTGACATTTCTTGTTGAAGTTATGAGTACTTGTAAGGAACAGAAATGATTATATTCTTACGTGTCTGTCTGTGTGGGTCTATCTACCGGGATGTATATACAAGTCAAAGTGAATCCCTCTGACTCTTGATAGGCCTGAACTTAACAAAAAAGAACTCAATTTTCCTGAGCCCTGCCTCATTGTTATGCAGCTCGGTGTTTACTGACACTCCATCTGACTGACCCCCTTGAGTGTGTGGGGATAAAGTGCCATTGGCTAAGGGCCACTTAATGCAGCCTAGCCGGTTGATGATCATGCACCTTACAGCTTTTGAGCAGTTGATCTGATAGACGAAACATGATTTTTATACCAGTGGCTTCTGGAATAATTGGAACTTTCTTAATCTCTTCTGTGAAAATTTTCAAGATGCTAAAGACTCATTTGCAGATATCATCCCAAAGACCTAAATTCAAAGAAATATGTTCACAATGGAAACTGGATGTTCCTAATCCAGTCCAAGTCCTTGAGAGTAGAAGATCATATTGTACTTAGTTTTAAGTCGTTGGTATGAAAAGCATTTTAAAGTGAATTTACCAAAATACTGGTTTTGTGTTCTAACCAACTTCTCTGCATAAAGAGCTTCAAACATGGCATGGTTTGCTTATGAGTTCAGAGTCCCTTTGTTATTGAAACAGTCATCGTGTAACAAGGTATTCCAGAGTAAAAAGCACTTCTTTCTCAAAAAGAAGAGTTGTGATTTTTGTTTTACAGAAGTGGATCCATGTAAACTGTTTTTCCTCTTTTATGATCTGAGCAGTTATTTTTATTCTATATCAGAAATATTTAAAGAGTTTATTTTTTAAGTAATCTCTACCCTCAACGTAGGGCTCGAATTCACAACCCCAAGATCAGGAGTCCCATGCTCTATTGACAGAGCCAGTGGGGTGCCCCTGTATCAGAAATATTTAAATTTATTCTATTTTGGTGGGGTTTCAATTCCTGATGAAAAGAAAACAATACTTTGGCATAAGAGGAAGTTAAGAGCCTTGAGAAAGGTATGTACAGGATTAAAGTAGGGTGGTGAGGTGCGGTACATATGAATGCGAATTAACAGAACTGAACTCTGACCCCTGATATCCAAATTTGATTTTTCAGAGAAACAAGAGATAGTCACATCCAGTTTCAATTCACAGTGCCAGTTTTGAATACAGAACGGAGAGCACAAACCCTTTGTGGTCCCTTAGACTACAGTCCACACTGCCAACCAACTCTTTTCTCTTAGAAAGTGGTTGGAGACACGGGTCTTAATTGTACCTAAGAATTCTGGACTGGAGATAAAGCTTTGATGGATGCACAGCAGGGGACCCAGCTGGTGCAGTCACCAAGAATACCACATTTTAGGGGAGGAGGAAGAGGAGATGAAGACAAGTACCAAGGGAGGTAGGAAGACGAAGAATGTCAGCACGGCCAAATGCCACGCTGCCAACAGCAGTCCCTCCCAGCATACCCCACAGCCAACTCTTAAAGCTCACTGTGTGTCCCCTCCATGCCACTTGTCCTCAGGAGCATTTCTGTATTTCTGCCCCTGGTCTTTGCCTCAAGCTGCAGGCACAAATATCCAAGTACCTGCTGCACACCTAATCTTTCAAGTCCCATGTGTACTTTAAAGTACACTTCACCATAATTGAACTGGAGATCTTCCCACTCTTCCCACCACTGTCCACCTATGATGCTTCCTGTTTATTCTACCCCAGCTAATGACCTCATCATCCAAGCCAGAAGTTTGGATGCTGTTCTTTCTAGATTCCTCCCCCACCTTCCCCATCCAGTCACCCACCCAGTACTGCCAATTTGACCTCCTAGTAATTTCTTTAGGGAAATAAAAGGTGAAGAAAGAGATGTGCCACTCTGGCTACCCAGTGGTGAGGATGGCGAGTGTACCAGAGGGAGAGCTTCTGGTTCTCTAGTCTTTGTTTTCATAGCCTGTGTTTGTAGAAGTTGTGATTTTGGTGTCAAGTGGTGGCAGCAGCAGCGGATTTTCACTAGAGCCTCTAGTGTGTTTGGGTATTGGACCTGGCTGTGCTGCACCTGCATCTGGCTTCTGGTCTTCCCGGAGACTCTGTGCGCTACAAAATACTAATACAGTCCCAATCTTTGCCAGATTGGATTCTGCCGTCTGTAACTAAGAACCTGACTGAATCAAGCCAAGACCTGAAAGATGAGTCAGCCATGTGAGTCAGAGCAGGTGGGGTGAAAATTCTGGGCAGAGGGCACTGAGGAATAAGAGAGTTGATTTAAGGAACTGAGAAGAGGCCTGTGTGGCAGGGGTCACCAGAAGGGAGGAGAGTGGGACCTGATGAAATTAGAAAGGCAGGCAGGGCCCAGAGTCTAGTGTTAAAGTCATAGTGAGGAGACTGTGGTTTATGTAAAGTGTAACGAAAGTGGACAAGATTTTGGCAGGGAAATACATCATCTGATTAATGTGCTCTAAAACTGCTCTGTGTGGAATGTAGATAAGAAGGGGACAAGAGAGGATATGGAAACAGTATGAAGGTTATGTCCTTCTGCACCTGTGTTTCTAGGTCTGTGTCCTTACTAGATCATGAACTCCTTGAAGCTAAAAATCATGCTAATTCAAGTGCATAGAAGGTGCTCATTATATTAAACTGAATAGTATATATGCAATAATGCATTATTTTTTATAACAAATTAGGTATTATGCCCATTTTATCTTTTTATTTTATTTATTTTTTTAACTTTTTTTAATGTTTTATTTATTCCTGAGAGAGAGAGAGAGAGAGAGATAGCATGAGCAGGGGAGGGTCAGAGAGAGAGGGAGACACAGAATCCAAAACAGGCTCCAGGCTCTGAGCTGGCTGTTAGCACAGAGCCTGATGCGGGGCTCGAACCCACAAACCGCAAGACCATGACCTGAGCTGAAGTCAGTGCTCAACCGACTGAGCCACCCAGGCGCCCCTATTTTATTTTATTTTTAAACTAAAAAAATTTTTTAATGTTTATTTATTTTTGAGAGCTGGAGAGAGAGCGTGACAGGGGGAGGGACAGAGAGAGAGGGAGACACAGAATCTGAAGCAGGCTTCAGGCTCTGAGCTGTCAGCACAGAGCCTGATGTGGGGCTCGAACCCACGAACCGTGAGATCATGACCTGAGCTGAAGTCAGATGCTTAACTGACTGAGCCACCCTGGTGCCCCTATTATGCCCATTTTATAAATGAAAAAACTAGTGATTAGAGAGATCTGTGTGCTCCATGCTAGGCACTGTCGTAAGAATTTTACATACTAAGTATACACTAGCACACTAATCCTCACAATAATCTTATCAGATATATGCTGTTTTATCCCCATTTTACAAACGAGGCAATTGAAGCACAGAGAGGTTATGTAATAAGCTCTAGGTTACACAGCTAATAAGTGGAAAAACCAGGATTTGAATCTAGGCATTCTGGCTTCAGAGTCTCTACTCTTAACCACTGTATAAGATTGCCTCATAAAAATGCTGATAAACCCCACATGATTATATAAAAATACAAATTTAAATTTTTAAAAATGTTTTATTTATTTCCGAGAGAGAGAGAGAGAGAGAGAGAGAGACAGTGTGAGCAGGGGAAGCTCAGAGAGAGAGGGAGACACAGAATCCAAAGACAGACTCTAGGCTCTAAGCTAGCTGTCAGCACAGAGCCCGATGCGGGGCTCGAACCCATGAACCATGAGATCATGACCTGAGCCGTAGTCGGTCGCCTAACCGACTGAGCCACCCAGACGCCCCTAAAAATACAAATTTAAATAAGCTAAAATACAGTAAGAGTTACCACTAGAGAAAAACTGAACATAAAATTTTCATATTACTAAAGAAAAAAAATCTGGAAAAAGGAACTTTATCAAACCAAAGACAGAAAAGGGAAGAAAACAATAGGAAGCAAAATATATAGAAAAAACAAGTTGGAATTAACTCTAAGCACACAAATATGAATGGGTTAAATTTTACTGTTAAAAGAGGAAATACTTCCAATATGGGGGCACATGTATATGCTTTTTATTTTTATTTATTTTTTATTTTTTTATTTTTTTTACAAATAGTTTATTGTCAAATTAGTTTCCACATAACACCCAGTTCTCATCCCCACAAGTGCCCTCCTCCATGCCCATATGTATATGCTTTTTAAACACATATCTAATGCAGCCCCTCCCAAACAGTGTGGAGGTTCCTCAAAAAATTAACAACAGAACTCCCCTATGACCCAGCAATAGCACTGCTAGGAATTTACCCAAGAGATACAGGAGTGCTGATACATAGGGGCACATGTACCCCAACGTTCATAGCAGCACTCTCAACAACAGCCAAAACATGGAAAGAGCCTAAATGTCCATCAACT